TGGCTAATTTCACAAAAGAGATAAGCAGAGATAAAGCGAGAGGCAGTGTGAATGTGTGTGTGAGATAGAGGGCAAGAGAGAAGAAGAAGAGATTGATTTTTCGTTAAGATGTTCAAGTCTTGCTCAAATAGAATTATGTAAAAGCCTTCGGCAAACTCTTTCATGACAGTTTTCAAAGCGCAGTTCTCACATTAATCATTAAGAAAGAAGAAGAGACAGAGAGAACAACATATACTAAATATGACAGAGACAGAGCAGAATAATAGACATTGTTTTCTGATAAATACTGCTCACATTTGCTAAAAATATATGTTGAACTAACTGATGAATTGTTCTAAGTTCAATACGTATTCTGTCTCCTCTCTCTTTTTCTCCCTCTCTCAAACTAAATAAAGAAAATATGCACAGAAGAGATACTATACAATATTTATTTAAAAAAAAAGTTAAAGTAAAAAAAAACCTATATCGAAACTCATTCATAAACCAAACCGAATTCGAAGCACTGCACTCAGAGGTCAATAGCCAAGCGAGCATGTTACAAATTGATTGATTAAATGCTATATAAAGATTACGAAAATAATGGAGAAAACTCATAAAATGCAATTTCAATTATTCAACTCACATGATAAGCGAGAGACATTCATAAATTAACCATAAGCCAGACGAAAAATCGAAGGAAAAAAAAATAAATCAAGTAACGAAGTTCAAAAATTTATGGACATTCATTGATCAGTGCATGAAGTTTTATGCTTTATGTTGTGTCGTATGTGATTTCCGTTCGGGAACTGCGCTAGGTGGGCTAGAGTCATCAAAAAACACACAGACACAAAAAAAAAACCATTGTAGAAGAATAGAGAAAGAAAACTAACTGAAAATCAAACTAGAAATGCAGTCTGCATACTAAAACAATGGAAATAACAGTTTTTCCAGCCAGCTGCTCTCGACACAGTGGGCACTCGCTATAGCTGCAATGACAAATGAACTGAGGCGGATCATGAGAGCGACTACTGACAGTAGGCAGAAAGTTGTCAAAACAAATGGCTAAAGGCAAAGCGGATCAACTCAACTCAACTCAACTCAGCTCAGCTCAGCTCCGAAATAACAATTCGAAAACAGTTGCCGAAAATGTGCAAAACTACTTGAACTAACCGTTGATCTTGAATGCCGTCCTGCGAATCATTAATCATGGATCATCATGCAAAAAAAATATAAAGAACATCAGGAATAGTTAACGCTTAGCTGAGCAAGAGACGCGCCGAGCTGAAGTCACCTTAAATTGGGCAGCTTCTTGATCGATTTAGCAGGAGTCGAGCAGTCGAGCAGTCGAGCACCTAAATGCCCACTTCAGAGTTTCTATTGATTATGTCACCGCATTGTCATTAATTATGCCTTTGTTTGGGCCTGGCTGTCACTTTTGTGGTTCAAAAACCGAAGAGAACCAACTATACAAACTCGAGTGCAAGAACATTTTCAACGGGTTAAGAGCTAACCGAAATTCTAGGTAGCGAATGCCCAATGCTTATGAATTTCTAATGTTGCGTCATTAATCAACCAGTCAAAAGGTGTTTTGATTTTGGCATACGTTCAAGGCAGTCCAAAACCCAAACAATTGACATGCACACACACACACTCACGTACAGGCACACACATGCACACGCACTCACATGACATTGGACCGCGTTTGCAACTTCCAGCCAGCAACTTGCAACATGCAAAGCGAAACTAGAAACTAGAACACGAATGAGAACTTTTTTCGTAGTTCAATTCAGTTGGCAATGTTGTGTATGTTGGGCGCTTTGTTTGGCCAAGAAGAATGGGAGAACTCCGAAACGAACCTAAGGTCAGCCTTAATAGGTTCGAGGCACTGAGCCATTGAACTTGTTGGGTAGCACCTTGGCTTCGTTTCGGGTAGCTAGAGAGCTTGCATTGGCACATGCTATTAATTCTTCAGCGCTTGCATTGTTATAAGCCACTCAAGACAGTTCCCGGCGACAGACGGACGGACAGTTCGACAGTTGTTAACAAGCTGCCAAGAGTTGAGCTGAGCGTGAGCCTCGCAGCGAAACACCCTCCAGTCCCAAGGCAGCCAGAGTCGTGCTGCTGCTGCTTTTACAGGGTATCTGCTGGGCGGGCGCGCCTTGTTGGCAGCACGCACAAAGTGCGTTAATTAACAGAAATATGCTGCGCCCACTTGGTAACTGCAGCCGAAGGAGCAACGCCCCACAGCAGCATTCAAATTGCCTGGCCATAGCAGGCGCTGTTTGGAACCGAAGCCCTCTACCCTCTGCCCCATATATGTTGCTATAGACTATGCCTTCGGCTTATTATTTACGATTTTTCGCATAAATTTACGCGAACGCTCGTAAAACTGCGTGAAATACGACATTTTGAGTTCTGTGAAAGTGTAACACGAACGAACTGACTCCAGATTGGCAACTGAGACCCGAGACTGGGAGAGCGGGGGAAGCCTGAAGACCTGCAACTGAACCTGGAGCTTCAGCTGAACCTGCGCACAAGGCTGTTCGCTGATCGAAGCGTGTGTGAGCGCTAACTCACCATGAACAATAAGCCAGCATCTCAGTGATTTGTAGCTTTCAGCGTTAACCTGGCAACAATGTTGCTAATAGATGTTGCTAAGCTGCCGACGCCGAC